ACCAGACATCACACGGCTAGTTTCAGCAGCCCAGACCGTTGAATGCCCACCCCCCGGGGCCGTCGTTTCCTTATCTAAACGTCAGGACCCCTGGGTCGGGTCTGATGGAGAGCGCGCCTCAATGGGTGGGACATACGATACTCGCGTCTCTATACACTTTATCAGGGGAGAGAATTGAACAGATAAGGACAAGGGAGATAATTATTGAAACCTGGGGCTACAACATGGCTGTCAAGTACAAGACTTGTAGACTGATATACGTCGTGAAGCCGCCTGTAAAAACATCACGTGACTCGACATACACACCTTATTATTAGTAGAAAAAACATTGAACTTTGTCAATATAATTTTTTTTTTTAACATTAGGAAAAAACTAATAATTATCCTCATCTGTCTAGAATTACAATAAATTGACCACTAAACTTTAATGGACACAAATCGGTCTCGTTTCACGGCACAAAGTCTGCCATTGTTTGTCCAAAAAGTTGAAGCTGTTGTGACAAGAAAGAGTTCAAACTGTCAGTGTCGCCGCCGTCCAGGAGTGTTCCGTTCCCACACCATCGAGTCCACTTACAAAATAACGTTTTCGGCGCTAATGACGCGACGGTCTGAAATCTTGACACTAACAAGTTGACATCTGCCTGACATCTGGCTGACATTTGATTCTCCCCGCTGACCTGCGGCCCGAGTGAGCACTCGTCAAATCTCCTCATGTGTGAGGGAAAAACTGATTTCGTTTGGGCAAAGCTCGAGCTCAGTGGAGGGCTTGTAGCAGGCGAGTTGGGAGTTGAAAACACAGGTTGAAGTCTGCCAGGCTCGAGGTTTTAACTAGACAGGTTTGGGTTTAAATCAGGCAAGTTTGAAGCTTTAACTAGACAGGTTTGGGCTCAAATCAGGCAGGTTTAAAGTTTACACAAGTATGTGTGACAGCTTAATTCAGACAGGTTTGGTAAGCTAGCGTTTCTCAGTTTAAAATGGACCAAACAGGAGAATACTTTTGGGCGGCGATGCTGTCTTTCTTTGTTCTTGTCTTGATGGCACCAACCAATCAATGGCGTGCTTTATGTCACGTGACAGACACGATCGAAACACACCCGTGTTATTTACAAGACAAGACTTCAAGCCAACATATGATGTACGTTTTAGCAGAGATTCACAAGAAGCAGGCCACCAACCCAGCCCCTATCCGTGTACACCGGGACCTACACAAATCACTCCCTCCCTTACACGATGACCTACACAGACGCCTCCCCCCTCCCTTATACTAGGACCCACACAGACGCCCCCCCTCCCTTATACTAGGACCTACACAGACGCCCCCTCCCTTATACTAGGACCCACACAGACGCCCCCCCCCCCCTCCCTTATACTAGGACCCACACAGACGCCCCCCCCCCCCCCTCCCTTATACTAGGACCCACACAGACGCCCCCCCCTCCCTTATACTAGGACCTACACAGACGCTCCCCCCCCTCCCTTATACTAGGACCTACACAGACGCCCCCCTCCCTTATACTAGGACCCACACAGACGCTCCCCCCCCCGTACACTAGGACCCCCTCCCCCCATCTATATCAAGGCAAATATCCATGCTGTTTCTTTCAACCTCAGAATGCCTGCAAACGACAGATCTTCTTTAAACAAATTAACTTGCAGAAAATGGAATCTCCAAAAATCGCCCCGAGCTATCCCAATCCCTCTAGGAAGCAACACGCCCCCACGACGAGGTGTAATCACAGCTCGTAGATACCCTAGAACCGCTCTAAGCCTCGGTCCTCAGACATATCACAACTGTGACAAGAAAATCCTTCTCGTGAAAATCAGCAACAAATTGCGATACAGAACAGACCGAAGGTTCAAGATGTCGATCATAGTCACCAGGGGGCGATCACGTCGCTTTATTTGATTACTTGCTACTGTTGCCAGGCACGACGCAATATCCCCCCCCCCCTCCTCTAGTCAAACCGAGGCTGGGTGAATTGAATACGTTTCGATAAGGTTTCAAACAGCGCAATAAAACATTCACAGAGGGTAAAAATTGGACTGTTATAGATGGGTGGGTCGTTAGAGATACATCGGCAGATATTTATTTAAGCCGGGTGTCTGAAGCCGCACATAAAGTCAAGTCGGCTAAACTGAGCTCCCCCCTGGGAGGCGTCCAGCTCCCCCCGAGGGAGGCGTCCAACAAAGAGGTGGATGAAAGCCATCGCAGAAAGGTTGGTAATCTCGTAACGGTCGCGGTACCAAGACAAATGAGAAACTTATGACAGTAAAACGTTGTATGAAAGCATGATCTACATTAGGTGTTTTAAGTATGGCGGTGTATGGTGGTGTTTGGTGGTGTATGGAGGTGATTGGTGTCTAGAGAGTATGGATCCATGTAGACACTCTGGTACTTTGGTTTGGTAAACACCGGAACGGCAATAACGTATATTGGATACTTTTGTAAGGGCATCATGAATCGTATCGTGGTTTTTTCTAATGTGAGGGAAATACGGTATTTTGTCATTAATTTTTTTATTCTTTTGGCTATGATTACTATTAGGATTTGAGCTAATATCTGGATTATAGTAATAGCCAGGGTTAAGACGCTAAAAGTTAGTTGAACTAGAAAATTAGATTCAAATCACCTTACCGTCGGTTTTTAAAGTTTTGGTATAGATATGGGGAGTGGTGGGTGGTATTTGTTGACTCTGGATGGTGTGTGTTAGTAGAATGCTAAAGCAGATCAAAAATTGACTCTACGAACCAAACTTTAATTAATTTTTTTTCCATTTTGACAGTGAGAGGTAATGGCATAGAGGCAACAAGCAAACTATCAGACCGGCATGAGAGAGAGGGAGTAGAGTAGACGTACAACAAGCAAACTATCAGACCGACAGGAGGGAGAGGCAGTAGAGTAGACGTACAACAAGCAAACTATTAGAGCAGAAGATAAATCGCGTGGGCCGATTAATTATAAAAGACGTATACAAGCGGGACAGAGATGAGATCAATAAACAATATTGATTGAGTCAGCCAAGTTGGCTTTAGGCGTAGTTACATTCGTTCGTGCAACTGTTTCATCGGATGCAAAAACTAAATGTCACTTCGTCAGATACAAAATGTCACTTCGTCAGATACAAAATGTCATTTTGTCGATTCAAAAGTTTCACTACGTCAGAAACAAAATAGTCTATTTCTCAGATACTAAGTGTCACTCCGTCAGATACAAAATTAGTGTCACTAAGTCAAATGTCATTTTGTCAGATACAAAAATGTTATTTTGTCGATTTAAAAGTGTCACTACGTCAGATACAAAATGTCAATTCGTCAGATATAACAACAATCTTGTTGCTGTTGTACATTAGGTCAAAATTTGAGCCCCTAAAAACTTCACCCAAATTATGGAAAATGCCACATCTTTAAGCCAAGCTTTATCAAATAAATTCCTGTGTTTTCCATAAGTCTCTCCCCCCCCCCTAAAATCTGTAGCCCCTATGGTAGCACGTGCTATCTGGTAGCAGAAGATTTACCACTGGCAGAAGCCGGTAATCAAATCTGGCACGGCCGGACGGCTGTAAGACCAGGGCTATTAAGATGATGGAACCGATTTTGTGCCATCTAGCGGCGGGGCTGGTCGGAAAAATTGATAGCAGATGTGTCGTTTTGGTTGTTAATGACGCGAGTTGCTACAAATATTGTTCTTTTCTAGGCTGGCCAGGCCTTGATGTGTGGCATTCATCACTCGATGGCGAGGGCTTCTAATGGACCTAACCAGTCGATGGCGAGGGCTTCTAATGGACCTAACCAGTCGATGGCGAGGTCTTCTAATGGACCTAACCAGTCGATGGCGAGGTCTTCTAATGGACCTAACCAGTCGATGGCTTCTAATGGACCTTACCAGTCGGTGGCGAGGGCTTCTAATGGACCTAACCAGTCGATGGCTTTTAATGGACCTAACCAGTCGATGGCTTCTAATGGACCTTACCAGTCGGTGGCGAGGGCTTCTAATGGACCTAACCAGTCGATGGCTTTTAATGGACCTAACCAGTCACTGTATGTCAAGGGCTTCTAATGGACCTAACCAGTCACTGTATGTCAAGGTCTTCTAATGGACCTAACCAGTCACTGTATGTCAAGGGCTTCTAATGGACCTAACCAGTCGATGGCGAGGGCTTCTAATGGACCTAACCAGTCACTGTATGTCAAGGGCTTCTAATGGACCTAACCAGTCACTGTATGTCAAGGTCTTCTAATGGACCTAACCTGTCAATGGCAAGGCTTCTAATGGATCTAACCAGTAAAATCACGGCGTTTTCATCAAGGCTTTTGTCCCATTATGTGACACAAACAAAATCATGGACGTGAAATATCCCATATGTGTACAGTCTAAGTGGAAATTTGGCCCTGGCCTTTGTGAACTAACACCTGTGTAACACGCGAATTAGCTGCCGTACGTGAAGACATTTTCTCACATATGATTAGTGGCATAACAAAAGAACGGTAGTGGCATAGGTTAGTGTCAACATTTGACGCCTCCGGGGGTCTAGTTAGTATCAGACGTACGGGGAACGTCAACAGATACAGGTCTGTGTTAAACACGGACGTGCTGAAAAGGGCGACTACCTACCCGCAGTTGAACGATTCACAGGAGCACTGAAGTATATCAGGTGTTGAATGCAGGTCGCGTGAGGTCATGGTCAGCGTATAGAACAACTAATACTGACAGAACAAATAATACTGACAGAACAAATAATACTGACAGAACAAATAATGCGGCAGAACAAATAATACTGACAGAACAAATAATGCGGCAGAACAAATAATACTAACAGAACAAATAATGCTGACAGAACAAATAATACTGACAACAAATAGTACTGACAGAACAAATAATGCTGACAGAACAAATAATACTATCAGAACAAATAATGCTGACAGAACAAACAATGCTGACATATCAAAGATACACTGTAGTACATGTTTTAAAACGGCAGCATATACCTCACTCTTGGGGTTCACTTGCCAGTAGACACGTACATCTCACTATACGTACACTGAATAAATCCAGCACCCACGGCATCCACCAGACCAGCATCCACGACATCCACCATACCAGCACCCACGACATTCCTAAGACCAGCATCCACGACATCCACCATACCAGCATCCACGACATCCACCATACCAGCACCCACTACATCCACCATACCAGCACCAACGACATCCGCCATACCAGCATCCACGACATCCACCATACCAGCACCCACTACATCCACCATACCAGCACCCACTACATCCACCATACCAGCACCAACGACATCCGCCATACCAGCATCCACGACATCCACCATACCAGCATCCACGACATCCGCCATACCAGCACCCACGACATCCGCCATACCAGCATCCACGACATCCACCATACCCGCACCCACGACATCCGCCATACCAGCATCCACGACATCCACCATACCCGCACCCACTACATCCACCATACCCGCACCCACGACATCCGCCATACCAGCATCCACGACATCCACCATACCAGCACCCACGACATCCGCCATACCAGCACCCACGACATCCACCATACCAGCACCAACGACATCCGCCATACCAGCACCCACGACATCCACCATACCAGCACCCACGACATCCGCCATACCAGCATCCACGACATCCACCATACCAGCACCCACGACATCCGCCATACCAGCACCCACGACATCCACCATACCAGCACCCACGACATCCGCCATACCAGCATCCACGACACCCACCATACCCGCACCCACGACATCCGCCATACCAGCACCCACGACATCCGCCATACCAGCACCCACGACATCCACCATACCAGCACCCACGACATCCGCCATACCAGCATCCACGACATCCACCATACCCGCACCCACGACATCCGCCATACCAGCATCCACGACATCCACCATACCCGCACCCACTACATCCACCATACCAGCACCCACGACATCCACCATACCCGCACCCACGACATCCGCCATACCAGCATCCACGACATCCACCATACCCGCACCCACTACATCCACCATACCAGCACCCACGACATCCACCATACCCGCACCCACTACATCCACCATACCAGCACCCACGACATCCACCAGACCAGCACCCACGACATCCACCATACCCGCACCCACGACATCCGCCATACCAGCATCCACGACATCCACCATACCCGCACCCACTACATCCACCATACCAGCACCCACGACATCCACCATACCCGCACCCACGACATCCGCCATACCAGCATCCACGACATCCACCATACCCGCACCCACTACATCCACCATACCCGCACCCACTACATCCACCATACCCGCACCCACAACATCCACAAGACCAGCACCCACGACATTCACCATACCAGCACCCACGACATCCACCATACCAGCATCCACGACATCCACCATACCAGCACCCACGACATCCACCATACCCGCACCCACGACATCCGCCATACCAGCATCCACGACATCCACCATACCCGCACCCACTACATCCACCATACCAGCACCCACGACATCCACCATACCCGCACCCACTACATCCACCATACCAGCACCCACGACATCCACCAGACCAGCACCCACGACATCCACCATACCCGCACCCACGACATCCGCCATACCAGCATCCACGACATCCACCATACCCGCACCCACTACATCCACCATACCAGCACCCACGACATCCACCATACCCGCACCCACGACATCCGCCATACCAGCATCCACGACATCCACCATACCCGCACCCACTACATCCACCATACCCGCACCCACGACATCCACCATACCAGCATCCACGACATCCACCATACCAGCACCCACGACATCCACCATACCAGCACCCACGACATCCGCCATACCAGCACCCACGACATTCCTAAGACCAGCACCCACGACATCCGCCATACCAGCACCCACGACATCCACCATACCAGCACCCACGACATCCACCATACCAGCCCCCACGACATCCACCATACCAGCACCCACGACATCCACCATACCCGCACCCACGACATCCGCCATACCAGCATCCACGACATCCACCATACCCGCACCCACTACATCCACCATACCCGCACCCACAACATCCACAAGACCAGCACCCACGACATTCACCATACCAGCACCCACGACATCCACCATACCAGCACCCACGACATCCACCATACCAGCATCCACGACATCCACCATACCAGCACCCACGACATCCACCATACCAGCATCCACGACATCCACCATACCAGCACCCACGACATCCACCATACCAGCACCCACGACATCCACCATACCAGCATCCACGACATTCCTAAGACCAGCACCCACGACATCCACCATACCTGCATCCACGACATCCACCATACCAGCACCCACAACATCCACAAGACCAGCACCCACGACATCCACCATACCAGCCCCCACGACATTCACCATACCAGCACCCACGACATCCACCATACCAGCCCCCACGACATCCACCATACCAGCACCCACGACATCCGCCATACCAGCACCCACGACAATCATCATACCAGCACACACGACATCCACCATACCAGCCCCCACGACATTCACCATACCAGCACCCACGACATCCGCCATACCAGCACCCACGACATCCACCATACCAGCATCCACGACATCCACCATACCAGCACCCACGACATCCACCATACCAGCACCCACGACATCCACCATACCAGCATCCACGACATTCCTAAGACCAGCACCCACGACATCCACCATACCTGCATCCACGACATCCACCATACCAGCACCCACAACATCCACAAGACCAGCACCCACGACATCCACCATACCAGCCCCCACGACATTCACCATACCAGCACCCACGACATCCACCATACCAGCCCCCACGACATTCACCATACCAGCACCCACGACATCCACCATACCAGCACCCACGACATCCACCATACCAGCACCCACGACATCCGCCATACCAGCACCCACGACAATCATCATACCAGCACACACGACATCCACCATACCAGCCCCCACGACATTCACCATACCAGCACCCACGACATCCGCCATACCAGCACCCACGACATCCACCATACCAGCACCCATGACATTCCTAAGACCAGCATCGTTGTGTGAATGTCTCCACTACATTCGCTACTTCATTCATTGGTTCTCTATCTCAACGCTACCCATTGTTTATTGTTGATAGCCCCATGTTACAAAGACGTAAACAAGACTTGACTGGCCCTAAGTATCACACACGACTCAGGTAACCGACTAGACACAGGTAACAAACGGTTGTCGAAGAGTTCCATGATCACACGGCTCACCTGTGAGGTACCGTCAGACGGCCGCAGCTACACCCCCGCCCCGTGTGAAGTCTCCGGATTGTTCCATGTACCTGTTCATGTCTATCAAACAAACACCGTCCCGCCCCCCGGGCTAAGTTCTCGACTCTCAAAGTCCAAACACACACGGCGGAATCTTCTAGAGGCTGTTCAAGAGACCTGGAGTGATTGACCTTAGATTGACCCCAGCGTGGTGTCCAGAATCTTCTGGAATATTCTTCAAGAGGTCATTAAGGATGTGAAGAAATCTTGGTCGTTGAGTGCAAGTCTGTCACGTCGGTACAGTGGTGATGGAGCGGTGGTGATGGTGGGGCCATGATGGTTGGGCCGTGATGGTTGGGTCGTGATGGTGGGGCCGTGATGGTTGAGCCATGATGGTTGGGCCGTGATGGTTGAGCCATGATGGTTGGGCCGTGATGGTTGGGTCGTGATGGTTGGGTCGTGATGGTTGGGTCGTGATGGTTGAGCCGTGATGGTGGGGCCGTGATGGTTGGGTCGTGATGGTGGGGCCGTGATGGTTGTGCCATGATGGTTGGGCCGTGATGGTACATGGGATGGTGAGATGGTAGTCGTACGGTAAACACATCTCAGTACACCAGGCAATCATCCTAAAGGTCACGGCCATGACCTTTTCCTCTACCCTCGGGAAAAACAGGCTCTCATTTATCTGGCTAAATATTAGAGCTATATATTCCTTCCTTCCTTCCTTCCCTTTTTTTCTCTCGTTTCCCCTTGATCACACGATGCCCATTCTCTTTCCGGAAGTCTGTGATGCCCCCCCCCCCCCCAGCTTACACACACCTCCAGAAAGTAAGTGATGCCACCACACCCCTCGCCCCCCCCCCCCCCCCCCCCCTCACACACACATCACACCTGTTACAAATGTCCAGTTTCAGTAATCCGCCATCGATTATCTACCCCCTAAAGTTGCAGAAATGAAAAACGGAACGTAATTACGCTTCTAATTAGAGGTATAAAAAACTAAGTAAACTAATTAGAGATGAGCAAATTTCGCTAGAGGTCAGTGGTCTGACCAGTCGCGAAATTATCTCGGCCTAAACATGCTCTTTAATTAGGCCGATGTGTACTTTGTTTTCCCTTGTGTTTAATTAAAAGATAATTAAAAGATAATTATAGATCCTTCCTAAAGGGTTTGGGTCTCAATGATATACCAACGTATCTGCTACAGTACCTTTCACGCTGGAACTAATGCATGCCGGTATCACACTGGTTGCTAGCTTAGAGTGCGAGGAAAACAAGTTCTGCATTAAAACTATGGGGGGGGGGGGAATCGGTGTGGATAGGGGGGGGTGGCAATAGCGGGATGGACCAATTATACTTAATAAAATACTATGCTGAAATATTTTAAGAGTCTGACACAAAAAAGAAAAAAATTCTTGTAATGTCTGATTCCACACAACAAGGTATTGGTCACACGTCATATGTGACGAGACGCGACTCAGTAGTTGACGGTCACCCCATTGTTTAGCTGTGTTACATCTGGCGTGTCTTTTGTCCGTTTGATGACACGGTTGTCACGTGACCGTGTGATAGCCCAGCACACACAAACCACTGACAACGGCCCTGTGTTTTATGTCTGTGATAGCCCAGCACACACAAACCACTGACAACGGCCCTGTGTTTTATGTCTGTGATAGCCCAGCACACACAAACCACTGACAACGGCCCTGTGTTTTATGTCTGTGATAGCCCAGCACACACAAACCACTGACAACGGCCCTGTGTTTTATGTCTGTGATAGCCCAGCACACACAAACCTACTACCCACCAGACAACGGCCCTGTGTTTTATGTCTGTGATAGCCCAGCACACACAAACCACTGACAACGGCCCTGTGTTTTATGTCTGTGATAGCCCAGCACACACAAACCACTGACAACGGCCCTGTGTTTTATGTCTGTGATAGCCCAGCACACACAAACCACTGACAACGGCCCTGTGTTTTATGTCTGTGATAGCCCAGCACACACAAACCTACTACCCCCTGACAACGGCCCTGTGTTTTATGTCTCGCGTCCCGGGAGGACGACGGCCCTGTTTTATATATGAAACATAAACAGGAAGTTGTGAAGGGGCGGGTCCCCAACTCACGCCATCAAACAGCGTGAATTATTAATGGCCGTCCGCGGAAAACTGTGACCACAATAAATATGAGAGCACTTTACAGGGCGACTTTCGCCCGCCTGGCGAGAGCGATACGTCACACTTTGTCAGGGGCCAAGGCGCTGATTGGTCAACGGTTGATAACCTTTGGGACTCTGGGTCTGGAGAGTGGACTTAAGGACATCAACGTTAAGATGGGCATAGACTGTAGACTTACAGGCATCAACGTTAAGATGGGCATAGACTGTAGACTTACAGGCATCAACGTTAAAATGGGCATAGACAGTAGACTTACAGGCATCAACGTTAAGATGGGCATAGACTGTAGACTTACAGATTCTAAATTAAAGATGGGCATAGACAAGTACAGGATAGTCACAGAAAAGTAAACAAAAGTACTACACAAAGATACACATATAAAGCAGATTTAGTTGAGGTGACCTTTATATTCAAAGACACACGGAAACAAAAACACCCTTGTAAATTGTCTTTTGGATCCATTATCCTATAAAAACTGTCAAACATGAGGATACATGAGGATAAAACCTAACGCCAGACAGCAACAGAGAGGGAGAGAGAAGGAAAGAGTGGAGAAAGAGAGAGAGAAAGAGAGATGAGAGAAGAGAGAGAGAGAGTGGAAATAAGTTGTAAGCCAAAAAAAAAAGTTCGATATTGAAATGGAGAAAAAGCATGAATTTAAATTATATAAAATAAAATTGTAATAAAAAACAAAATTTGATCTGAGGAAATCCCTGGCTAGCTCAGCTCACAATACGCGGGTTGTGTAGCCATAGGACAACCCTATGACAACCCTAGACATCCCGGGGAGATGAAAGATAGATTCAAACGTACCGGAAATTACAATTCTGACCAAATTTTCAAACCTGGGCGGTAAGTGGAGATTGGCTGGTTCAGACAAGATGTGGGGCGGGCGGGGCTGGGGGAGGGGGGGGGGGTACAAGGGGTCTGTAAACATTTGTTGAGGTATAGCTGTGGGGGGGGGGGGGGGGTTACAAGGGGTCTGTACACATTTGTTGAGGTATGACTGCGTGTGGTGGGGGAGGGTTGGGGTGTACAAGGGGTCTGTACACATTTGTTGAGGTATAGCTGTGGGGGGGGGGGGGGTTACAAGGGGTCTGTAAACATTTGTTGAGGTATAGCTGTGGGGGGGGGGGGGGTTACAAGGGGTCTGTAAACATTTGTTGAGGTATAGCTGTGGGGGGGGGGGGGGGTTACAAGGGGTCTGTACACATTTGTTGAGGTATGACTGCGTGTGGTGGGGGAGGGTTGGGGTGTACAAGGGGTCTGTACACATTTGTGTGTGGGGGGGGGTCCGGATTTAGGCATGGAGGGTGAGGTAGGGTTATATGCAAAGAGGGTGGGGTTAAGGATAAGTATAGGTGAAATTAGAATCGTGTGGATGTGAGAATCCCAAAGGACAGCGGAGGATGGGGTAGAGAGAGAGAGACGAGGGATGACGTAACGCTAGAAGACAGGAACTGTGGGAAGAAGGGAGAGAATGCGGACATCAAGCAGGGGAGGTCACCCGACTCCCCGATACACGACAATTCTTTAGGACAGCGCTAGGAGAACCCGGCAAGGGAGACAATACAACTAATTTCAGCGGAGAAAAAAAAACTTTCAATTTTTAAAATGTGATTAGAAACGTGCCTGGTTTGTCGTGTATAGTGTAACCACAGACAGCGTTCAAATAAAATTCTCCAGGAGTCGTCTGGAAGCAGAAGTTAAAAGAGGCCAACTTAAGTCCACACACCATGTGAACCGACTGGTCTGTTACAGTTTAATTAGCAGCTGGTTGATTGGACAGACTCGTTAGTGAGCTGTCGGGACAGATGGGGTGGGTAAAGACAAGGGCACGCCCCGGCTGAGGGGGAGGCTTGAGCGCCCCATTGTCCTAAAGATTGTTCAATATTTGTGCTCTCACCCCTCGTTGCTGGGCCGCGTCTTTGTCAGGAGATGCTGTGTGCCCGAGTGGCCAGCGGCCCTCGATAAAACACACGCTCTGACACAGTTGTGGTCTGGGAGAAAGGACTCGCGCCCTCCGCGTCAACCCGGTGCCATTTGCTAATTACAAGGCCGTGGCCGGCACGCTCTGGGCGCGGGACGCTGACAAAGAGCGCACATCTTGGACTCTAAAGCGGCCATCATGGGGGGCGCGTGCTGGCCAAAGAGTCGCACTTAAAGAGGGGGAAGGGCTAATGGTTTAATGATGAATAGTGGCCAGGGCTTTGTCCAGAGGCGCCCGTCCGTCCTGCTGTAATTATGGTAGACATCTCCTCGGACATGATGACCAGTGCAGGAAGCGGTCAATCTTCTTGGACGTGATGGTCAGTAGAGGAACGGTCAATCTTCTTGGACGTGATGGTCAGTAGAGGAACGGTCAATCTTCTTGGACGTGATGGTCAGTAGAGGAACGGTCAATCTTCTTGGACGTGGTGGTCAGTAGAGGAATGGTCAATCTTCTTGGACGTGATGGTCAGTAGAGGAACGGTCAATCTTTTTGGACGTGGTGGTCAGTAGAGGAATGGTCAATCTTCTTGGACGTGATGGTCAGTAGAGGAACGGTCAATCTTCTTGGACGTGATGGTCAGTAGAGGAACGGTCAATCTTTTT